GCCTGCACGGCCCTAATCGCATTGAGCTTCATGCAAGGATTCATTTCCTGACTTTATTTGTCTTGAAGATAAGGCTTTTTGAGTAAGATAATTTGGCCATGCATGTGTGGATTAGAGGGTAGCGCAGTGACATTTTGTGCGAGACGTCCGCAAACAAAACTTCATGCCTCCTCTTCAATCCCCGGCAGACTATGCTGCTGATAGGAGCATACAAAATCAGAATGAAAAGTAATTACAATGGAAAAATAATGATACACAAACCTGGTAGGTCAAAAATTCAGTCTCTGCCTCCTTCAGTGAAAGCGGAAGAAAACGGCGTGGCAAAAGGTGGTGCATTAGATTCTCAACACGTTTGATCATTTGGCCCCAAAACTCTTGCTTCTGATCTTGCTGGCCCGCGTCAGCAAGCCCGTCAATTCGGCCATCCACGCAATCATCAAATGTTGCTTGATCAACACACAAATCAGCGACTATCTCGTTGGAATCTGCATGTCTATCACAACCGGCTTTTCGTAAAAATAAGCCAGAAGCGAAATGCCCTGTGGTTCTAAATGGAATTTGGGAAAAAAACTTTATGAATATGTACTTAGTCAGTTTAGGTCGCTTAGGATGCTATAATGAGTGATAGTTGAGTTTTCCCACAATTCAATGAGTAGTCCTCACTATGTCCTTGCATTTCCCTTAGCTTTGCGTGCCAAAAGACAATTTCATCCAGTTGTCACCTCGTCCACGTCTCATCAGCCCCCTTGGCGGGATTTGATACCTGATCGTGAGTAACATGGTGACGCTTAAAACACCACAACACGACCAGTGATACCAGTAGGTCATAGGGCAAATGCGAAATTCAAGCCAAGACATTCCCATTTTCATTTTTTACGTAGGCTTTCGAGACTACCAGTAGATTTGAATTTTACCAGAACAACATGAATAGGCCTGACGTTTCACATATATTTCATATAGCCTTGCTTTTAAACGGTTTTCTCATCACAACTGGACAGGACTGCAACTTCTACCACGTCCAGGTTTCATCGGTCCACTCTTCGGGACTTGAACCCGGGTTGTCGTAGTGCAGTGTATAGTCTCGACACGTTCGTCAACACGTCACACTGCCAAGAGTGCCCTTGGATCCGAGGTGTGAAATGAATTTCAAAGAAGCCCAGGCCTTTCCCATATCACATTTCTGTGATGGAATATTCGATGAAGCAGTTTTATTTGCCATAGCAATCAGCTATATTACTTATTTTCGTTTTTAAGTAGGTTTTCGAGACTACCATAAATAAAATTCAACTAAAAGTCCTTCATCAACGAAATAGGGTGAATATAATTCTTCTTCAGGTAATCTCTCTTCAAACCCACATTTATAGTGGAATTTTCGATTAAGCGTACATGTGTTTGCTATTCAAATAAAAAAAATGACTTAGTTACGATATATTTAGTTGCCGGAGCACTCAGCTCGGGTGCTGTAGACACAAATAGGATAATTATAACTAAAATATGGAAAGTGGGTTGACCTCGTTGTCGCAACTTGGTCTTGTGGGTCTGAATGATAACAACTTTTGGGAAAACAAGGATGTTAAATTTAATTTTAGCGTAAGCTCTACTTATTTAATTGTGGGCAAATTCACTTGCCAGTCCTTCATTACCTTAACGAAATGGAGTGAATTTATCTCAGATGATGCTTTCGAAGTTCACTCAGTCTTATAGAAGTGGGTTGACCTCGTTGTCGCAACTTGATCTTGTGTTCAGGGAGACTATGTAGAACTCACCGAGTCTGAAGTCGTCTGCCATAGTAGTTGTCTTGATTCCCAGCATCTGACAGTGGACTTGGTACAGATGCTGGGAATCAAGACAACTACTATGGCAGACGACTTCGGACTAGGTGAGTTCTACTAAGTTGCCCTGAACACAAGACCAAGTTGCGACAACGAAGTCAACCCACTTCTATAAATCAAAAAGAGACTGCGACCATACCCGAGGCCACAACATCTTGGTCTTCACATCTTTAAAATATGGACAATTCGGCCATGCACACAGAAATCTCATTAAAATTCTCAGAATAGTAGTCCGAAAATTACTTTATATTAAACCTTGGTCTTGTATTTGTTTAATCAAAAGACGACGACGAAGTCTCTTTGAGATCATAAAGTTTGTTTTAAATGGGACGTTTGAGCTGGCGCAATCTTAGAGGCAGCCTCTTTCGGTTCCTTTGAAAACATGTTGAGGTGTGGCAGACTTTGAAAGAATTGACACACTACTAACTTAAAGATGTTGTAAGAACGCTACTCAGTTTCGGCACTATTTGTAAAATGAAAAGAACTTTAGTCACTATGGCATAAATAAGATAATGCAATTTATCATGTTGATGGCTGAACTTTTCCACTCTGGAATAAGTGAAATTTTAAATGCTATTGACTTTCACGTAGCTCTGTCTCTCAGCCCTGCTGTACTGCGGTTTCAATCTCGCCTTGGTCTCATCAGAGCCCCCAATAAGATGACAAGCCAAGAAGTACGTATCGAGGAGCAACACGTCAAGACTACGCCCAAAGGCCAGTTAATCACAAGACAGAATCGACTCATCTAATCCACATTTATAGTTGAATTATTGTCAATCAGGCTCACTTGTATTTGACACTATAATTGATGGCGCTACTTGTATATGTAATGAGTAGACTAAGAGACTATCAGAAAGTTTTTATTAAGAACTTTATTCACCTGAGATCGCATGAGGTTGAGCAGAACTGATGGGCAAATATTCGCATACTGCAATATGTAGACCTTAATAAATCTACTAATATTCCCGAAAATTATGCTTATTATGTATAAGTAATGTTGTCGATTGTAATGGCATGCATAAGTTGTTTTTACCAGAAGCGGACGGCGGATTCCCCTTGGTTGGCCGTCGGTTGACTTTACTGGAACATATTTTTCATTTCATAAGTAGACTTTCCTGACTTCCAGAGCTGTATTCATCCTAGCTCTAAAACCTACCTATGAAGCAAAAGTAATGTAGTTGACTGCTTTAGCAAATAGAACTTTGCCTTGTCGATTATCCCACCGCAGAAATGTTATATGGGATAGACCTAGGCTTCCTTGAGATACATTTATTCCCTGTAATCCAAGGGCCCTCGTGAAAGAGTTGCGTTGTGGCTAATATGGTGTGATTACACGCCGCACTTTTAGAGTTAGAGTGCCGCTTAGGGTGCTGATGGGACAATGGTGATATCGAAAATGCAGTTCCCTCTTGCCGGAATGAGAAAACCTCGAGGAAAGCAAAGCTCTGTAAACGCGAGGTGAAACCTGAGGCCTACGCATATCAAAGTGTGAAAATTCAATTGTCAGTCCACTTTCACCCAAATAGAAACAGAGTGAATGTAGCTCTTTTACCGGAACATTCTTTTGAGACTGTTCCCGAGGCAATCTCTTTCTATTCCGCTAAAGGAGTGCCAAGCCTTCGTCCATCCTATAATGTACATCATCAAAGCGGGATAGTATTTTTAAAACCACAGTCA